TAAATAAGGCCTAGTATTACGTTTTAAATAAGGCCTAATAATAACTTACGTAATACTAGGCCTTATTTAAAACGTAATACTAGAGATACCTTAAATAATATATTATAATATATACGTGTAATTAGCTAAGAGAGAGCTTATAATAAGTATTATAAGTAACCTAATAATTAAAGGATTTAATAATTAAGTAATATAAAACCCTATAATAATAATATTAGGGTTAATATTTATAAGACTTATTTAATAAGCTTAAAGAAAGAATAAAAAGTATTACCTTATAATTATAAGCTTATAAGAAATAATAATAGTTTTACACGTATAAGGGTTTAAGGTAAATTAAAAGTAAGAATAAGCATTATAACTTTTTAATAAGCTATAAGACTTTTAAAACTTATTTAATTAAGAAAAAGCAAATAAACTTCCCTTATATTAAAGGTAATTAAACTATTATATATAATTAAAGAAGCGCTAAAATAGCTTTAACCTTAAGTTACTATAAGTGTTACTTTATAATATACCACGTAAATATTTACTAGAGATTAAAAAATAAGTTATAAACCGAATAAATAAAGGCTAGATTTACGTAAGCTTTTTATTAATAATAGCTTTAGTTTTACTTGTAAAAAAACCTAATAAAAGCTAGCGATTTTATGTTAATTATTACGTCTTAAATAAAGCTCTTACAAATATAGTAAATACAAGTGTATTATATATTGTATTTTATATTGTATTGTATTTTCGTGTATTATATTTAAATACATTACATTATATTACGAAAATACTTATAAATGTATTTTATTTACTATATCCGTAAGAGCTCTGGGTGTGCATTCAAACCATAGCAAATTAAGTACACGTACAAAGAGATTAGCCCTGGAATAAATTGTCACTTGAACCACTATATGAGCCAAATAATGATATAGCAGTAGCGATGTCTATCCCCCCCGCACCTGTCTAACTGTTGTTAGTATTGAGCTACGGATTAAATGGCTGCGGATTAAATGGCGGAAGGCTGTTATATGCATCCATGCCCATTTCGAATTCGAAAGGTGACCAGGTGTTAGTTAAACCGGATTGTGTAAGATTATAAGAGGGACTGGAAGTTAGGTAGCTAAAGTAAGGGTAGCTATATTATAATAACTAAAGCTTATCCTTTTTTTTAGTTATATAAGATATAAGGGATATAGTCTTAAAGCTCTTATTCTATTTCTTTTACTTTATTAAGTAATAGATGCTTTCTTAAAACTCTCTTTAATTCTTAACTTCTTTAACTTTATACTCTTTATTATTCTCTTTAAAGTCTAGTATTAAAAGCGAGTTTTTACTAGTATTTTCTTACCTTTTTTATAGCTTTAATAGGTTAATATAAAAGACGTTATAAAGGTAGCTATATTATTCTAGTAGCGCTAAGTAGTATACCTATTTCCTAATAGTTTCTAGGATTTAAAAGGGTTTAATTAAGTCCCTCTTATATAGGGTAAGGGGTGTGTACTATTAATTATAATACTTCGCTTAGAATTCTATAGCTTTTTACTAGTTAATTTAGAGTTATTCTTATACTTTCTTAAGCTTAATTATATAGGTTTTCGTGGTAAATACCCTCTTTTAATAAGTTTTACTCTTAAGGTAAAAGTAAAACTCTAGGTTATACCCTATTAAACTATAATTAAGTAAGTAGTTTATTATATTACTCTTTACGTTATTATAAGTGAATTAAGCTTATAATAATAATTACGCTTATATTAATTAATTACTTATAATAAAATAACGTAAATAATACTTTATAATTTAATTTATTCTTTTTATTTACCCGTTTATTTATAAGTAAAAAGCTATTAAAAGCCTTCTTTTTATCTTAAATAAGTAATAAAGGTTTAATTAAAATTAGCTAGTAAATACTAGCTTTTTATTAAAGATAATATCTTTTAATACGTTAAATTAAAGTTTAACCTTATAGTAAAAGAGTTCTATTAGTTTTATAGTATTAATAGTAGTATTAATTACTAAAAAAAGAGAATACTTAATAAATTAAT